GGGGGGGGTCACGGAGAGGAGTGAGAGGCTCCCGGCGTGGGGCTGGGGGGATCCTGGAGAGGGTCTGGGGTCCCGGAGTGTGGCTCGGGGGTCCCAGAGAGGGGCTCGGGTCCCGTCACAGGGCCCCAGGGGTCCCCTCATGGGGCTCGGGGGTCTCTGTGTGGGGCTGGGGGGGATCTCAGAGTGAGGCTCGGGGGTCTCAGAGAGGATCTCGGGTCCTGGCACGGGGCTCGTGGATTCAGGGTGCGGCTCGGGGGTCCCATCACGGGGCTCCGGGGTCCCGGAGGGAGGCTCAGAGGTCCCGGTGTGGGGCTGGGGGAGTCCCAGAGAGGATCTCGGGGGTCCTGGACTGGGACCGAGGTGTCCCAGACTGCGGCTCGGGGGTCCCAGAGAGGGTCTCGGGTCCCGGTGTGGGACTGGGGTGTCTCAGAGAGGGTCTCGGGTCCCATCATGGGGCTCAGGGGTCCCGGTGTGGGGCTGGGAGAGATCCCAGAGTGCGGCTCGGGGGTCCCGGAGAATGTCGGGGGTCCCATCACGGGACTTGGGGGTCCAGGAGGGGAATTGGGGTATCCCAGAGTGCGGCTCGGGGGTCCCGGGGAGTGTCTCGGGTCTCAGAGTGCAGCTCGGGGGTCCCATCACGGAGCTCGGGGGTCCCACCACGGGACCAGCGGGGGTCCCAAAGCCACCCCTGACCCTTCCTCCTCCTCCCTCATCCCGCAGCGGACCCGGTGGTGCAGATCGAGGGCAACCCGCACTGCTGCTTCTTCAACTTCAGCCCCAAGATCATGTTCACCAAGGTGGTGAAGGCGCAGCTCTGGGTGTACCTGCGGCCGGTGCAGCACACCTCCACCGTGTACCTGCAGATCCTGCGCCTCAAGCCCGTCACGGACGAGGGCAGCCGCCACATCCGCATCCGCTCGCTCAAAATCGAGCTCAACTCGCGCTCCGGCCACTGGCAGAGCATCGACTTCAAGCACGTCCTGCAGAACTGGTTCAAGCAGCCGCACAACAACTGGGGCATCGAGATCAACGCCTTCGACCCCAACGGCAACGACCTGGCTGTCACCTCGCTGGGGCCCGGAGCTGAGGGGCTGGTGGGTGGCACTGCCCTGGGGTGGGCGGGGGGATCGGGGGGTCCCCAGGGGGCTCGGGGTGTCCCCAAGGGGCAGTGAGGGGTCTTCAGGGGGCTCGGAGTGGGTGGTGGGGTGGCTCTGGAGGGCGGGTGACGGGTCTGGGGGACAGTGACAGCTCCGAGGGGCTGGGGACAGGTCTAGGGGTTGGTCACAGGTCTAGGGGACAGTGGCAGCTCCGTGGGGACAGTGACACTCCCATAGAGGGGTGGCAGCTCTCTGGGCCCGGTGACTGCCCGGGGGATTGCGGTGACAGCTCTGTGGGGCTGGGGACACCTCCAGGGGATGCCACCACCCCCCGGCGCAGCGCAGCGGGGCTGGGTGGAGCAGCGCAGTGCGGGTGGTGTCTCACCGCTGTCCCCAATGTCCCCGTGTCCCTCATTGCTATCCCCATGTCCCCTCACCACTGTCCCCAATGTCCCCTCACCACTGTCCCCAATGTCCCCGTGTCCCCTCACTGCTATTTCATGTGCCCTCACCACTATCCCGTGTCCCTCACCACTGTGCCTGTGTCCCCTCATTGCTGTCCCCTCAC